TTGTGGCTTCTGAAAGCCCTTGTATGAGAAAAAACAAACTGCTGGTATTAGCAGATGAGACTCAGCAGTGCTAGTACAGTTGAACCTCTTTCCTAGGTCAGAGCTGTTTGCCTCTCTGTATTCTAATGACTGGAAGAGGGTGAAATTCGCTTGTTTCTATGAATAAAACCAGATGAATTGACTGTACTCTAATTTGTGCCCCTTAAATGTTCACTTGGAGTAGAATTGGTGGAAAAAATAAATTCAACCTTTTTTCCTATCAAAAATACTATTGTATTAAAATTTTAATATCTTGTGGAAATGGTTCAGTTTCAATGACATTTTGTCAGTAAAGTTTCTCAGATCTTATATAGGAGTAGAGTGGAAAAAAAAAATATGCCCCATGTTGGTTGGTGTTATGGAGTGCATCTCAGATGTTTGACATCTAGGGTGCATGGCTGCAAAGTGCATGGCTGCAGAGTGCTTTAAAAGTGCTCAATTGCTTGACAATTTGAATCTTCATTACATTACATTATGTTCCTAAGCGGAATGCCTTCGTTAACTTCTTTCAGTACATGACAGGAGCAGGGCTGGTCTGATGTAGCTCAGCTCTAGTCTGAAGTGTTACCTTCAGGATGGGAGGGGGGAAAGAGACAGGAGGGAGTTCTGTCTGGGGTTTGCCCAGCCGATGCTGGAGGGGGAGGTTGGGTGGATTGGAGGCCCTGCCCCCTCAGGGCCCCCCGACCAACACAGGCTGGGCAAACTCCAGACCAAGCTTCCTCCCATCCTTTCTCCCCTCCCAATCTGAAAACAGTACTGGAGCTCGGAGCAGGGCAGGGAGGAGAGGAGATGAGCTAGGAGAGAGAGTATGCAAACATGCTGCCAGTCACAAACTGGAGCTTGATTGCTCAGACCCCCAGACCCAACAGAGAATGTGTGTTCAGTCATGAGGATTGATGTAACTCATGGTGCTTTGCAGGAAGCACCATGGGTTACAGAGAGGCACTGCACATGTGTCAGTGCCCATAGGGTCAAGTTTCTATTCTGCCTGAGTTGGAGTGATCTGGGATCTAGCCAGAAACTGGTACAATACGGATTTGATTTTGCTCTCTCCATTTCAGAAAGGGTAGACAACCCAAGAATTTCTTCTTCTTCCTTTTTTTTTAATGATAATCTGCAAACTTTTTTTGACAGCCAAACTTTTAATTGATATATATTTTACATAATGTAAATGTAACCATTCTGTGAGGCCCTGGATGATCAAACAAGGGTCAGGTTCAAAATCTAAGGGTTTAACATTGATTTTCTATACCTGGCTCAAGTCCCAACTCAGAAGCCCGGGAAAATAATTTTTAACTGGGTGTTCTAAAGTGAACAAATTTCCCCATTCACAAGCAATGTTCAACTAAAACAGGGATTTGTTATAGCACAGCTGTGTGTATATCATACACCATCACTTGCTAGAGTAAACACCTTCTTACACCAGTTACATTTAGAATTGCCCTTGACTTTTTAGTATGGACTGTCCATAAAATATGGACAGTTTGCAACCCTGATCCCAGGTAAGTGTCTTTGCTATGTTCTCTTTCTCATTTCTTCCTGAAAAGAAAACAAGATGTGTCTAATTTTTGCTCCCATGGCTCGACACTTTTTGTGAACAAGAATTTAAAGTTTTGGGGTTGTGAGAAAACAAGTGAACTTTAAGTAAACTCCAGAAAGTGGCATTTCAGCAAGTTTCATCTTTGGAATATGTAAGAACAAGCTATTCTTTTGCCAAGTGCAGACATTCCTGGGATCAAAAGTACTGTCATATTGCTTACTTTAAGCAGCGTGATTCTAGATTGGGCGCTGATTGTGTCAACATTTGCCAGTACTGGGAGCCTGATCTAAGCCAGTGTGGGGGGAAAGGTAGGCAAGATCAGGGGGTTAGCACAGCCTGGTGGTTGCTGGGACCAGAGGGGCAGGTAGGTCCATGATGGGGCTTGTCCAGTTGGGGTAGGTCAGAGGGCTAAAGATAGCCTAGTCATGATAGAGAGAGCACAGCTCTGGGGCTGGGGCAAGTACCTGGGCTTTGCTAGTTCCAGGTGTGTGCTGTGCATGTGTACACAGATGTTCCTTGGACCTGTTCTACAATCAAAGGGCTCACTTTAAGCTGTGTGGTAATAGGTCAGATCCTGTATGTGTACATGTTTGCTTGTGCTGGAATCCATACCAGAAATGAATCTAAGTAAGTCAGGGTGGGAGACAGGGCTAGTGGGTCTGCAGGAAGGTTAGAGGGTCCAGGGGGACTGGCAAGCCCACAGAGGGAACTAGTGAGTGCATGGCCGGCGGTGGGGGGGGTGTTGTTTGTCCGGGGTTGTGCTGGTACACACATTTGGGTTATACTGGGCATGGGTTAGCACAATATACATAGTTCACCTTCTAGGTGGACTAAAGTTAAATTGGACCAGTCTAATCAAATCTTTCCAAATGTACATACAGATCATCACTTAGATCAATCTAACCCTAGCTAGGAAGATCTAACTTTAAAGTCTTTACATGGAAGAACTAAGTCAGATTGGGTGGCCACATTTTGCCTGATCTAACTTCTCTGAATGTATGTACAGTTCAGCAGTTAGGTTGATATAAGTGTAATGTCTGCATGTATCCCTTTTTTCAAATTTCTTTTCAAAGCTAGAAATTTCTTTTGAAATGCATATCCACATTTTCTTCATTCTTGTAGATGTCATCTAATTTGGGGCACATGATGAGCAAACAATCATATACCATGTTCTGTCTAATATGTTGCCTCAGATACATTGATACTAGGGAATTTTTGTACTCCTCTTTAAGGGTACCAACAAGGAAAGAAATAAAATCTCAGAGAAAGGAGACTGCAGATTTTAAATTAAAATTAGGCTAAAAAGCTTCCTGCTTTGTTCTAGCTTTTTTATGATGTCAAAATGCTTGTAAAACATGGCTTCAAAATAGCTGGTTTTAAAATATATTATTTTAAAATGGGAATCTATTTTTAATTTTCTATTAATGAATGGAAACCTCTATATGTAAGTGAGATGAGAAGTTTCAAAATTAACAAAAATCTTGTATCTAAGAAGTAAACAAAGACTATCCCTTTCTAGGTAAAATATATAAAAAGCTCTTTTAAGAAACATATCAGTTCTTTAAATAAGTCAAGTATTGTTTTTTAAACTGGAAGCTGGGCATCATAATAATGTGTTGCAGGCATTATGGAAGAGATGTCTGTTTACATATAGAGAATCAAGCTTTTGTAAAGAATTGTTTCCTTCCTCTTTCCTTTTCATTATCTAAATCATAATGGCATATGTTGATGCTCAAAGCTAATCTGACACTTTAATGAAATGAATGACAATTAACACATCTCTCATTCAAATATAATGTAAAAATGTTTGAGGTCATATTTACCATATTGAAAGTAAGCTAGTCCATATCTGAAAGCATTTAGGGACTGAAAATATAATTCTCTGCCTCAATACAATGAAGATAAATGAGCAAATGGAAATAGAATTCTAAGTGTCGGTTTTTCATTCATCTTAATGGCATTTTTGATACTTGTGTGCAGGTACCAATTGTGTTTTCTGACAGTGTGAGTTCATAAGTGTGCATGCCCACTACATGTGCACCTATGTATACATGCCCCTTGTGAATATGTGCCAGTGTCCATGCCTCAAAAAAATGTTGGTGGCCCAAAACCAATGACTACGAGGTGTTAGACTGAGGTGGACATGGTCCTTTCCATGCTTCAGTCTTAACAGATGGGTATTTAGGACACTTGGGGGAGAAAGGGGTGAACCCTTTGTATGTTTTACTTCCTTGTACAGTGCTGTAATTATGCCACAGATCAAACATTGACTAGTCCTGTCTTCAGTGCTCTTTAAGTTGCCCCTCCCTTAGCAACCAAGAGAAAGAGGATGGCTGATATCCCAGAAGGGAGACAGGCTTGAGTTCTAACCAGAATCTTTGCTCCTAGTGAGGTAGATATTTTCTCAGTGTACTTAGAGACAACCATGGAAAATTAAATTCTTGTCTTAATTTCTCATACTGAATTCTGGTACTGAACTGTATGTTGAAGAATAGTTTGTCATTTGCACTGAAGGGTCATCAAATATGAAAGATATTTTACAAAACATACCTTTGTTTTAACAACTTTATCCAATGACTGTTTTAATGATTAACCCTTCAGAGACAGAGGTACAATAACTTAAAAATGGCTGTCTATTATGTCACTTGTGGTATTTTACCAGATAGTGAAACTACTCCAGTATTAAGATCCTTATTCACAAAAAGTAAACATATCCAGAACTGCTTTTAGGAACTGTTGCCCCTCCCCCCCGATGTGTTTTGGGAAGCAAGGGAATTTGGGGGAGCCTGTCCCATGAAAATCAAGTACTCAACAAAATAAGTTTAAATGTATTTTAATATTAAGATTGCTAGTGAAATGTAAGAGGAATATGAATGATAAGACAACATTGGTAAGGTATATTAAACCAAAAAAATCCATTTTTCATTAACAACATAATCTATGTACTAATATTCTAAAGAGCAGATGGTCTAAAAACATTTTAGGATATTTGTGCCTACTGTATACCTGCACAGTGTATATCATGTTAAAGCTGAGAGAGTGTAGATTTGTACAAAATTAAAAAATCATGAGACAATCTGAAAAAAATGCAAGAAATGACTAGAAAAAGCTTGAGATGATAGACCGATCATGACTCATAGTAGAGACGGTATATTTTATTAGACCAACAAGATTTTTGCAAAAAAATTAAATTAATTGCAAGCTTTGGGGCACAAAAAACCTTCATCAGGCATTGGAGAAAAGATTGTAAAAGTTCTCCTGGGTACTAATGAAAGTTCATATTTCATAGGATTTCACAGAGGATGGAAAACTCCTCTGGGCAGTTAGTTCATAGCTGGTATGGAGCCTCTCTCCTCCTTGCACGACATGTGATGATGCAAATTACCTTGAAACAAAGGCAGGAGCAGGGTCTCAGGTTTCAGGTGGTCACAGTTGCCTCCTGCTTGAGAAAATATGAAGACTTCATTTAAAATAGATTTTATGATTAGATTATAGGATTAAATGATACAGTGCATGCACACGCTACACCAATGAATTCTCAACCTCTTGTTATGCCCATCAGACAAAACTCAACATTTCAAGATATGTAGGAGGCAATTTTCACTATCAAAAAAAGGAGAAGCTTTTTACTATTAAAAAGCCAAGAGTAAACACTTGATAGAGTAGGTGATTACTGATTACCTACCAAAGCCTGTGCTGGAACAGGGCAGCAGGACAGGCCCTACGAGGAGAGACTGAAGGACCTGAACCTGTTCAGCCTCAGCAAGAGGAGGCTGAGGGGGGACCTGGTGGCTGCCTACAAGCTCATCAGGGGAGATCAACAGCAAATAGGTAGAGCCCTTTTCTCCCCAGCACCACCTGGGGTGACAAGAAACAATGGTCATAAGCTGATGGAGAATAGGTTTAGGTTAGAGATCAGAAAGCAATATTTTACAGTCAGGGTGGCCAAAATCTGGAACCAACTTCCCAGGGAAGTGGTCCTCATCCCTACCTTGGGCAAATTCAAGAGGAGGTTGGATGATCACCTGTCTGGGGTCTTGTGAATCCAGCATTCATTCCTGCCTGTGACAGGGGATCAGGCTATATAATCTGTTCAAGTCCCTCCTGACCCTAGCTACTATGAAACACCCTTCTGAAGCTGCTCTGAGTTCAATAAGTGATTTTAAAGATAACTGAACTACTTCTATGTATTTTTAACCCCAGTTTTGTCTAGGATTCTGTGGAAATATTTTGAGGCAAATGATTTTGAATGTCCTGATCAGCTGTATGGTAAGTTTAAAAAGAGTAAAAAAAACTGCTATCGCCTGGGTCATATTTTTAGACAGAATCAATATGTTCCACTTTACTGAAGATTTGAAGGGTTTTTTTTACATGAACTTTACATGATTAATATTTTGGTTGAAGATTTCTTATCTCGGTTTTAAAACACGATTCAAATTCGTCCTTTTCTTGGTTCAACTGCAGATAAGCCATTTAAGTTCAAGGTCAAAAACAAAGATTCTGAGGTGAACCTGGATTTTTACACTTGATTAGCTGGCCTAACTTCAGAAGCTTGCTAATTATGGCTAGAAAATATAGAAATGTGCCTAACACTTCACTACTAATATTAATATGAACTCTTTCTGTTATTGAGTATACCTTGTTTGTTGTTAATCACCTATATCAGTGCCTTGTCATACTTTAATTTTAGGTGGCTCCTGGAACTCTTAACCTTTGGATTGTCCACACTTTAACACCTGAAACTAGTTTTAAGGATACTTTAGGGAGCTTAAAGTTTTGTCACTTCAGGGCACGTTTCTCTCTGATCTGTGTTTCCCAACTTATTTTATTAATATATGACCACTATGCACAGATGAACCACCCAAGTTGCAGCCCTCCAGCATCCCAGGATGCACTGTCCCTTCCCCCAGCCTCCTGTTCTGTGTGGACAAACTTTCCACCCCCTGAATCTAGTGGCCAGGGGGTGGTTCTGGCACCAAGCCGACTCCCCCTACAATTGCTTGGCATGTGCCTTTCCCACCCCCGAGGTGTAACCCCATGGAACAGCCTATGGAACACATGCTGGCTATCTAAGTCTTAGGCATCAGACAGGTTCAGGAGTGGGGTCTGGGGAGAGATGGGAGAGTGGAACAAGATAGGGGGCTAGATCAGATCCCCATGAGATGGGGCTACCTTCCCAGGGCAGAAGCAGTAGCTTCCTTCACTGCATCCACCTCCCACCCACCCTGGGAAGCATGACCATCACCCCTCACACCCAAATCCAAAATCACAGTTTATTAAAACATGAGACCTTTAATTTACTTCATCTTTTTTTTTTTTTAATTATTTTACTTCTTATTCTATCCTTCAGTGGCTTAATTCCTTCATTTCACCACCCATCCCCCACCCCCATTTCCCTTCCACTTCCTATTTCATTACCACTCCCATCCTATTAACTCTGGCTCTAGCAGAGATAGAAGCCTGTCCTGGCTCAGCAGCTTAGTAATGGCTACTTAGAGCTGTAGTGCCTAGTCAGGCCCCTGAACCCCAGCCCTCTAGTGGCAAATCACAGCTGTACAAGTCCAGGACAGTCAGAAAAGGATTTTAGCTTTAAGATGTGACTGCTCCAAACTCGAGCTAGCAGTAACATTGAGCTGCTCAAATATTGATCAAAGTGCAATATGTAACAAGATCCTTAGATGCATCAGCCATAAACAAGACCTAATTGGTATAAAACCACTAAATAACAGCAAGTTACCTTGAGCCAGTTTCTTGTAACCTGTCTTTCTTTTGACTTCTGAAATCTTCTCCCTTATGATATTTCCTCACTTGTTCATTTGCTTTGCCTCTTCTCCTCCCCAAATCCTGGTCAAGGGGATGCAAGCAAATTCAATAATTTATCACCATTAAAGCAGCTTTGATGCTAACTACAGAATATGGTTACATGCAAAACATATGCTTAAGTTCTCTCCTGCATAGAATGTAGTTAATCATCATGTGCATAATGTATCAAAACCTTAATAAATATCTTTTTGAGCATAACTATGACAGTCTTTTATTTTGAAATTATGCAAGAAGATTTAATGTGCAGCACTGTTTACTTCTTAACAGTTTAGCTGAGATATAGGGTTAAAAATGCTAATACCTGAAGTTACATTAAAAAAAAATTAAACCAATTTCTTCTCTTTTTTTTTTTGGAATTGCTTTTTCTTTGTCATGTGTCAGTGTGATGGGGCACACTTGGAGCTGGGTCTCATGCTGGCTGCCCTTCAGGCTTACTCCCAGTTCAACCCTACTCTGTGTTGGGCTATACAACTACACTCACCACGTTACCTGCTCTGGATCTCTGGGATCTCACATCCAAGCTGGGCTCAGGTGGCACTCTGCTTGCTGTGCCTGGCCCCACTACTTTCACAACTGCCTTCAAAGCCCACCTGAAGATGGGGACTGGGGTTAATGTGCCCCTCCTCACCTTTCACGAGGGAGGTAACTGGCCTGGCATTTCCTGGGGGCTCCCACGCCACCAGGAGCCCCACCAGGCCAGCCTTCCCCAGCAGGGTGCAGTTTTAGGTCATGGCCAGGACTGAGGGCCTCCTTCTCTTACCTTCAAGATGTTCCTGCTGCAGCTCATCCAGGTAGTGTTTCTGTTTGGGCTGGCAGCATCAAACTGCAGTCTTTGTATTCCTTGCTCTCAAAATGGCTGCTGTCATCAGGCACCTAGTAGCTGCCTGACTCTGCCCTTAAAGTGGCATGCACCCAAGGGTGCATTGGCACAGTCAGAAATTCAAATAATGCTACATGAGCCCAATGTGAAGAATCTGAAAGCCCTACTTTTCTCATTTGGAGGTGACCCTAGGAAATAAATAACATGAATATTCACTGCCCATCTTGTTTTGCTGAACTAAGTTCTTGGTATATTTGTATTAAATGAATTTCCTACCGATGGTCCCAAGTTGATTTCTTCTGACTACGATGCAATCAGTTTCAAGTTCTGAGTTATAAATCTTTACTTATAAATATGGCCAACCATAACATAGCATAGAATCTCAACTAGCTAGCATGACCTGAGTTTGAACAAGGAGATAGTTTGGAAATGGCTCAATTTGATTAACCTCCTGAAAACTAAAGAGGTATAATCATGCTGCTCTAATGAATAGTTTTACTTATGCTAGGACAGGTCTTGACTACCAGTTGACACTGAGTAGCTGAGCAATATGTCCTAAAAGTAAAAGGAAATAGTTTTATTGGAGTAAATAAAATAACAGCCGAGTAATGGTTTCTGCCCCTTCAAATTATTGGTAGCATGGGTTTGCTGTAACTAGGCTTTCTCAATTCTCACATTTCAGCTTTACCTTGCCTACCATAAGAATTGACTTACCCCCCAGTATCACCTTGCATCACACTCTGTCTGCTTGCATTAAACTTGATTTCTTTTATACTTTTTTTTTTGGCCCTGTAACATACCCAACTAGACTTTAGTTTCAGAACTCCAGAAGATTCACGGAGGATTTAGGATAGATTTTAACTGGGTTAGTTTCTCATCTAGATATGCCATTGCTTGAAGCATGATTCTTTTTCAGAGACACTGAAAACTACAATAAGATAACTATTTATCTAATCTCTGAAAGTAAACTAAATGTTGTAGTCACTTCTGCTGGTTTTGGAGCTGCAGTAGAAATTTATTTTCCAGGGATTAGGCTGTTTAGGAGATCTTTACACTCCCCTCCCTTATGTATAGATTAGAGGAATCAATATATTTTTTAATGTTAGGAATAATTATATAATGAATTTTCCATCAGTGATGCACTTCTCATGCAAATTTAATTTTTTGACTATTGCATTATCAGTACTGGAAAAAAAAACCCCTTGTAATCAGAGTGATCTTTAAAAGAATTAAAACACATTTTATAATAACTCATTTTGCTTAATCATAAAACCAGAAGAACAAGTTAAATATCTTGTGTAGAGAGGAAGAATGATTGTTTTGATTGAGACACTAGATAAGAACTCAAAACAAAGGAGTCTATCTTCCACCAATCCGACAAAATTCCTTGGTCTTCTAGACACATGCCATCATGTACCTCACCCAACAGTAGGGTGGCTATACATCCCAGTTTGGCCAGGACAGGACTCTGGAGGCCATTCCTAGCCAACTGGTGAATATTGAAATGAGCATCCTGGGTGTGGGGCATGGGGGCAGTCCAGTGGGGAGGCAGAGCAGCACAAATTGTGAAATAAGAAGCTCAATCAGAAAGCACAATTGCCCGAAAATAGGTTAGTGGAATGACCATTAAAAAGGGGAGATGACTGTTAATACCTGTGAAATAAAGGGCATTGACTCCTTTAGCTGCTGGAACAGTAATACCAGAGATGTACCATGCTTCCCTGCCCCCGCCTCTGCCTGTAGCAACACCCCTGACTAGGGGGGAAGGAAGAGGGCAATGTCCCAGATTTCACATTGTCCCATATGATCACTCTATCTAACAGATATCCCAAAAAAGAACAAATATAGATAGAATTATTAAAATATATTCAATAAATGTGAGCCTAATTTGGAGTGAGTGAATTACAAATAATGGAAAATGAATTTGAGACACTGAATTTGAGAAACAGTACTATTGACATGAATTGGAGTTCCATAAAGGAGGGAAGAAATCTTTAATAATAATAGATTTATTCTGTCTGTCTGGAGCACTCTGATTGGCTGTCTCAGCAGCCAATTACAATGCTTACTGAAACAACCAATTAGAGTACTCCAGATAGACAGAATAAGCCTATTATTATTATAGATCCTGAGGCATTTCAAACAGATATGCAAGCAAGTCAGAGCTAGAATGAAGCACTGGGGCCCTCTGCTGTGGAGTGGGCAGGCTCTGCTGAAGGGAAGAAAAAAAAAAGTGGTGAAGAGCCCGATCCTTCCTCCCCACCCCCCCCCAAGTGGCTTGCCTCTCCCATGGCCAGGGGGTGAACTGCTGGTGGGCCCTGAGCTGTGGGGGCCCCCAGTGCTTCCCTCCCTGGTATGGGTACTGTCCGGGGGCCCTGTTACCATAGAAAGAAGGACCAAGGGCCCCTGGAGCTCAGGAGCTGTGCAACCCATGGCAGCTCACTCCCTGGCTACAGGAGCCACAGGCCGGGTCCAACAGAAAAAAAAAAAAACAGATCAGACCCCATTCTACCTTTTTTTTTTCCCTTAGCAGAAGCTGCCCGTGTGAGCTGCCACTAGGTTGTGCAGCCCCTGAGCTGTGGGGGGGGGTTCCGGTGCTTTCCTCCATGGCAGCCTTGTCTCCTGGGCTGCCTGGCCAGGGTGCTAGCTGTGCAGGTGCAGCCCCAGCTCACAGGCAGCATCTGTCAGATCCAATGGTGCATGGGGCATTGGAAGCACTGGTGTGCTCAGGGAAGCTCAGGCTTGGTGGGTTTCCAGTGCCCTGTACATTGTCCCCGCCACCTTCCCACTGCCTGGGACCACCCAGGAACAGGATTGCTGCCCCAGAAAGATGGTAGGAGGGCAGCTGGGTGTGCTGTCAGCTGGAGAAGGGAGTGGGGATGCTGCACAGGGCACTGGAAGCCTACCAAACCCAAGCTTCCCCAAGTACACCCAGGCTTCCAGTGCCCTATACACCATCCCTGCCGCCTTCTCCAGATAGGGCCCTTGTTCATATGAGCAATATCACTGTTATTTGTTACATAGCAAACTAAAATACATGGGTTGTCCTTTAGTTTGCTACATAGAAAAGTCATTCAAATTGAAATATGCCACCAAATGTGTACACTGTTACAAAATTTAATCATACATGCTGCCAAACATGTACACTGTTATGCAATTCAATCATAAAAAAGGTCAATTAAACCACTAAAAGGGGCAATTTCCTCATGTGTACAAGGACCTTTAGTCATGTATACAATTCCCTCTTACTCTATGACAATAAACAAGTCACAAAGTCAGACTTTTGACAAAATATTTATATTCCTAAGCCTGTGTTTACACATGGACAGTTTTATGTAGCCTTTTTGAGGATCAGACATTTTGGTTCTGTTAAAGTATTCAGTCAATGGATAAGTAAAAAAACCTGTATTCAAAGAAATATTTCTGCCATAAAAATTTAATCACAAATGTTTTGTGGTTTTCAGCTAGTATCTAATTATATTTTAAAAGAATGCATTTGGTTTCCTTAATCATGTAGCCAAAGTGTGAGTAACCTGCAGCCCACAGAGTCATGGGTTTCAGCCTGTAGACATGGGGCTCCTGTGGCATTTGGTGTGGGCGGAAGGGCTTTGGTGGCTGTTGTTCTTCTCTAACCATGGTGGAGAGAAGTGGCAGCTGCAGAAGTTCTCTCCATGCCCTCTGTACCATGGCTAGGTCCTAACACTCCCCTAACTCTGACTCATATTGGGTCATTCCAGCTCACAACCTAAAAAGGTTGCCAAATGTAGATCAGTGTCTGATTCACTGTTTCTAATTCTTTCCTATGTAGAGATTGGAAACTGAACTGTGTCAATAATTGAATTTAGTATTTATTATTATGAGTATTTTGTAGATCAAGAATTATTTGGTAAATGATGGGTTGAAAGAGTTGTTGATATTTTTAAGGCTTTGATGTAATTAACTGGAAATGCAAACCTATTTTTTCCTTAAAATTTCTGTTCATTCATTCTGTTCAAACTTGGTTACAAGTCATAGGCAATATTAAATCCATAGGGACTGGAGTGTATAGTGGTAAGTTGCTGATAAATCATACCTTTGCTGATAAGTCACTGATGAATAACATAATGTAGTCTGAAATTAGTTTGGGGATTGGGTGGTAACATGCTAACTAGGGCACAGGGCAGGATAAATTGAAGCCTTCACATTGAAGGGGGGCAAATACAAGAACTTCACCTTCCATGAGTTTTTCCTATAGGTGAATTCTTTTTTCAATTTCCCCCTCTTTGTATGTGCAGATGTATATAAAATTGGATGAATTTTGTCACCCCCCTATTTATTTGAACTATTCTCTTACAGCAAGCACTACAAACTATAAATAGCACAATTATAATGATAATTTCAAGAGCTCAGCATTGAGTTGTTTTCTCCCATTTGAATTAATGGCACGATTCCCAAAGGAATAAAGTTAGGCCACTGGTCTTTTTGAAAATACTTTTTTTTAAGGTTTTGCTAAAATTCCAGGTTCCTAATTTCTAGTGCCCTAAAATATTAAACTTGATGGAGAATTCTCTCCCTTCACCTAACTCTCATTATATTCACAACTAATAAAAGTTACTTTTCCCCTAAATTCTCTTCAAGTTAATAACATTTTTTTTGATTAGCAGTTGCAACATTGAAATTGCAGGAAAGTATTCATTATTCTTCATTAACACTCTTGTGAGTTAACAAAAAGGACTATCTTGCAATAAGAAAATAAGGGATGACAGAATATGTTTTGTATTTAAAAGGCAAAATGAGGCCCACTGAAGGAACATAAATGGCAAAGATAATAGTAGTCAAAGGACAAAAGAATGGGTGTGAAGCATGAAGCCTGATTATATTCATAACAGATTATATTCAATGGTTAGCTGAAGAGAATTCTGTCTGCATCCAGATATACTAATTTTGAAAACTAAAGGTAGCACATCAGGTAAGTATCAATGTCCTTTGTTAACATAAATATCCTCCCAGTATTTGTAATAGAA